TGTATGTATGTATGTATGTATGTATGTATGTATGTATGTATGTATGTATGTATGTATGTATGTATGTATGTATGTATGTATGTATGTATGTATGTATGTATGTATGTATGTATGTATGTATGTATGTATGTAGTTTGTATGTATGTATGTATGTAGTTTGTATGTATGTATGTATATGTTTATTACACGTATGTTTGTATGTTATTGTAGAGTGTAGGGATGAATTTATGTTTGTATGTATTTGTTTTTCAATTACGACGAACACAACGACAGGCATACCGTACTGTCTGTGAATATGCTACAAATCTACTCTCTCCTCAAAAAATGAATATAACATTGGAGAGATGATTTAAAAAAAGTATGAATTTAAAAAAGAAGTTTTAAAAGAAGTATTTACCCACCAACCGAAGGACGGTTTTAAAGATTCGAATCGCTGAAATAGAAATTTATCAGTTCGTCCGTTCCACTTGGAATAATTCAACATTTGATTTTAGCAAAAACTTTGCATTTCCAAAGTAACGCAACTGTTTGGTTGCTTGTATTCAAGATGTTTTGAACCGGCCAACTTGGCATGACAGTGCCGGTCAAAATACTTGCAAGGCAGAACCGACCAACATCAGTCGGTTGATCTTCTCTCTCTGCCAGTTATTTCTCAATAAAAAGACCCGTTTTAATTCACCCAACACCATTGCTTCTAAATAAACATGATAGGTGTCTTCATCTTTCCACAAGGTTTGTTCAGCCTTGGACTGCATTCTATGAAATATTTAACACGGAATTTTTTAAGTGTTATAATGGAATGCATTGTTTATGGTTCAGTAAATGTTGTTACGGCAACAACAATGATGATAATGGATGATGACATCACGATGAAGATAGTACAAATGACGGTTATGAAGATGGTTATGATGATGGTGATGATGATGGTGATGATGACGACGATGGTTAAGATATTGAAATTATAATGATGGTGGTTGATGATGGTGGTCCTATAAATTACTATGATAATAATGGTGATAATATTGAAGTACCAACCGTTATTATTTTTAAGAAGAGATCGAAATTATAATTAACATTAACATGGTCTTACAGGCTGTTTTGGCGTTTAAATGAATGTTCCCATGTTACTCGATTATGTGTCAAACTGTTTACAGAGTGGATATAATAACCCATTGTAGGTACAGTACTGGTGACGGGGTTTGGGTGAGTTTCACCACAAAAACATGTGGTATTACAGGATGCATTGAAATTTCATTTGATACATACATTGAAACTCATAGAGTTGTAAGTTTGCACAGATTATCATGAGATGTAATGTAATGTAAAGTGATTTAATTAACCGATTACTTTGAATAAAAATAAAAACAAATAAATGTTAACGAGATGAAAGTAAGTATTAATTGGAAAAAACCACAAAGAAATTCGCGCCCATATTTACAGTCTCAAAGATTGTATTGTATGTCTGTTTCAGCAAATGCATGCATGCATGTATACAATGAAAAATGTTTATGTACACAAACAAGTGAATTCACACATGTATGAATGAATGCCTGCATGCATTTTGATTCAAACTCATACAAGCATGATTAAAAAAGTTAAGCACAAAAACTGTACAATACGTAAGAAAAATTTAATGAAATTATAGCCAAAAATGTGATTGCAACGACTTGAAAAAACGTCAATAAATGAAGAAGATTAGGACGGCGTCTGGTTGCTACCACTACTACTGCTGCTGCTGCTGCAACTTTTCAGCAGCAGACAAATGTTATTTGCTGTACAGCAACGTGTATTGATGCAGCGGTTCACCATGGAATAAATTTTCCTTGTACGTTGTTGTGTGTACGAGCGCGCACGTTGGTTGGTGGGATGTGCTGCTGTGTGCCCGCGCGTGTTCCTACGAGGGATTGTTCTCATATTGATTGCGTTGTTAAGTTATTGCACGCATGTGAAAAAATTCATAATTACATTTGTCAGTTGAAAATCGTAAAAACCGTTGTGATGGTCCGTGAGTTAATAAAACACCAAACAAATTAGAAATTATTATCATTAATATGTGTTTTAATCATTCGCTTTTAACAGCAATTAACCACTGCTAACAGCATTAACTGCATTGCTAACCCTCATAAACATCCTCATCGTCATCATCACCATCATCACCACCACCACCTTCATCATTGTCTCCATCAACACCACCATCTTCATCATCTTCATCATCATCGCCATCACCATCATCATAATTGCATGGACATTCTTCACAAAGCAAACAGCCAATGCGAAAAACTGTGAGACGAAATATTGAAACAAAGCCACGGAGGGAGTGAGAGATTTATAAAAAAAAGCACTTTCAAAGTAGACACAAAAATTTAATCGAATACAACAAAAATTCAACATTGCGTGCGCAAAATATTGTTTACGTAAAAAAAAACTTCAAGCAAATTGTATGAAAAATGACAAAAACGCCAACGTCAGATTTTGAAATGAAAAATAAATTAACAACACCAAACTTATCATTAATAGTAGAAACAGCTTGAAAATGTACAGATGTAACCTTGCTGCACAAAAAATGTTTGCGAAAAGTTCAGAAATATGCCGAACATGTCTATTTGCTTATGATATTTTACATAAATTTAAGTTGAAACGGTGATTAAATTCGTCCTCATGTAAATAACGGGCATTGTTCTATGTACGTATTTACATACATTTATCTTAAATTATTTTGAGTTTGGTTTTTTCTGTAAAACTTCTACTTTCAATACCTTAATATTGAATTAATTTAATAATAATAGATTAGTATAAACTTTTAAATAATGAAAGCAATGACTGAATGACTTTTGAAACTGCGGCAAGTTACAACGAGCAAATTACGATTACACAATAACATACAGTTACAATTACATTACATACAGTTGTACATGCCACGTTACGTATTAACAATTTTTTGTATAAAGACCACGTAGATACATGTAAACTTCATTAGCATCTATAAAGAAGAGAAAGAAATAGCCTGTCACTTTATGTGATGTCCAGTTGCATGGTCAGTTGCATGGTCAGCTGAATGTTAAGTATGTTATCTGGGTGGAGACATACAAACCATACAATAAAGGTATCTATGTTCAATGTGTGCGTGGATGTGTGTGTGGATGTGTGTGTATGAAAGTGTGTGTAAGAAAGAGAGAGAGAGAGAGGGGGGGAGAGAAAGTGTGTGTGTGTGTGGGAATGTGTGTGTATTGCATGTCATGCTGGGCTTGAATAATTTAGCGATTTATCCTGCCAATATATGCTTATTTATCTGGCCGGTGAAAAGCATTATACTTTGCATATTAACTCAATGGAGGCGAGCGGTGGAATGTCGATGCGCTACCAAGACAGATTGCCCAATGTAAAGACGAAATAAAAATGAACAGAGAGAGAGAGAGAGAGATGGAGAAGAAGAGATGGAAAGGGAGAGATGGAGAAGGAGAGAGGGAGAAGGAGGGATGGAGAAAGAGAGAGGGGGTGATGCTTTGATGGGTTGGAAATTATTTACAAAACGCAACATGATTAACAAATTTGAATATTGTTACTGTCACATTTTCAGGAAAGCATACAAAATATTTTAGAGAAATAACAAATTGGATGAAGTTATGTTTGCAAAATGTTTGAAAAGTTGAAAATATTACTTGAAATAAAATGGAAAAATAAAAAAATGAACAGTTAATTAAAAAAGTTGGATGGAGTCTGAATGATTCACAGAACGAAGTTAATTTGAAAATTTTTTAACCTTCATCAAAGCAATTTGTGAAATCTCACTTGAATTTCAAATTTTGATGAGTGAGGAGCGGAAAAAAATCAGTACAACAAACAAATGAACAAACTTAATGAACGACCAACAAACAAACAAACGACATGCAAACAAACGAATGAACGAAAAAGAAACAGGCAACATCAGCAGAGCAACTAAACAACACCAACTAAATAAACACATCTTCACACTTAAAGAAACACAAGAAAAAACTGCAACTGAAACAAACAACAAAAAATAACGGGAAAACATCTCCCTCCATTATGACGTCATCAAATAACGGTGACTTCCTGCAAGAGAGGGATGGACACCCCGACAAATGTGTTCTCGTATTCGTCATCCAGCCTGTTTCCATGCAGTGGCCTGTATATGTAATCGTAGGCGAAGTAAGAGGTGGCCTGTGAAGTGGCTGCCGACGTTGACGGCAGAGAACTGTACTTGGAAAATATCACGTGGCGTCTGCAGACGATGACGAAACCGGAAATGACGAGGAGGCTGAGGACGACCATGGCAACTGATACTGAGACCATGACGTAGAGACGTGGTTTGGTTGAGGAGAGCAAGTTGATGTCGCCATCCAGATCGTCATCGTCGTCGACGTTGTTGTTGTTTGAGTTGTTGATGTTTCCATCATCATTTTCGTTTTTGTTGATGTTGTTGTGTGCATTTTCATTGATGCCATCACTCTGGTGTTTTTTGTTAGGGGGCAGCAGTTTATTGTTGTTGTTGATTTTCTGACTGTTTTTGTTGTTCGCGCTCTGGTTATTGCCCGATTTATTGTTACTAATAATGTTGTTGTTGTTGATGTTGTTGTTGTTGTAGTTGATGTTGTTGTTATTATTGTAAGTCCTCTCAACATTTGTTTGGCTTTCTAGTTTATTTGGTGCCTCGTCAACATCAGAAATTATTCCCAACTCAATATTGTTGGCGATGTTATTACTTAAAAAGTTCAAATTATTATTATCCGCGTTGAGGTTGTTGTTGTTGCTATCACTGTTTAGATTGATTTCGTAGTTGTTGTTGATGTTGTCGTTGTTGTTGATGTTATTAGCAGCTTCGTTATCAGCTATGACGCCTTTGATGAAGTTTATGTCAAACTCGTTGTTGTTGTTGCTGTTGTTGTCCGTGTCAATGTTCACGTCGTTGTTGTTGTTGTTGTCATTAATGAAGTTGTTGTAATTATTGTCTGCAATGTTGTTGTTATCAGCGTTGATGTTGTTATTATTGTTCATTATAGCGTTGTTGTTGTTGTTGTTTTCAATCATTGACGTGATTTGTATGCTGTCATCATCACCAAAGTTGTTGTTGATGTTTGTTAAATCATTATTGATAGTGTTGTAAAAGATTGTAGCGTTAATGTTATCATTGTTGTTGTTATTAATGTTGTGGTTGCTTGAATTGTTGTTGTTGTTAAAGTTTTGGTTTTTGTTAATAATGTCGTTGTTGCTAATGATGTTGTTGTTGTTGTTGTTGATGTTGTTGTTGATGTTGTTGTTGATGTTGTTGTTGATGTTGTTCTGTAAAAATTTCAAAACTCTTTCATAATCTACGTTGTCGTCCACATTTATATCAGATACCCAATTGCTGTTGTTGTTGCTGTTGTTGCTGCTGTTGTTGTTGTTGCTGCTGTTGTTGTTGTTGCTGTTGTTGTTGTTGTTAAACACAACATAATCAGCGTTGTTGTTCAACCAATTTCCGTCTTGATTGTTGGCATTGCTCACGTCAGAATGTTTCGATTGGTTCGTTAATGTTGACTTTGTGACCAGCAACTGTTGCAGCACGTCATTGTTGACGTACAAAGTGTTTTTGGAGTTGTTGCTCTGCTGTTGTGTTGTTTTGTTGGCGTTTTGATGAGAATCATCATCGCCGCGTTCTCCGTTGTTTTGCGAATTTTTGTAGATTTTCTGCAAGAAGTCAAACATTTGTTGCTGCTGCAGATATTGCTGCAACATTTCCTCTTGCTGCTGATTCGAAAGTTGACTTTCCTGATTTTGTTGCTGTTGTTGTTGTTGTTGTTGGAAAAACATTTGTTGTTGTTGAAGTTGCTTGTTTTGTTGCTGAAGTTGTTTGTTGTGTTGTTTGTGCAATTTGTCCAAATCGATCCACAGTGCACCTTCATTAACATGGAAATTTCCAACATTCGTTTGCTGACGCTGATTTTGTTGTTGTTGTTGTAAGTTTTGTTGTTGTAGTAGATAGTTTGAATTAATTAGTGTTTGATTGTTTTGTTTGTTCAAATTACTGTTGGAAGTATTTTTTATGCTGCCATTCAACTCTAAGTAATTGTTGTTGATGATGTGTTTGTTGTTGTTGATGTTGTTGTTGATGTTGTTGTTGTTATTGTTGCCACCTTCCACGTTATTTCTGTTTTTTGTATTAGCCGTGTAATTAATATTTTGATTGTTCATGAAGTTGCTGTTCAAGTTGTTGTTAATGTTGTTTTTGTTGGCAGCTTTTTGTTTTTCATTATTCACATTAGGAATAATGCTGTTTGTGACTTTGTTGTTGTTGTTGTTAACATCATCGTTGCTCGAGGACCATAAAAGTTTACTATTGTTGTTGTTGTTGTTATTGTGAGTGTTGTTTGCGTTGTAGGTAGGGGCTGTTAGTTTTGTTGTCGTTTTATTGTCGTCGTGATGAATCTTCGGTGAGGATAAAAGAGAGAGCGATTTGGAAGTTGCGTCAGTGGCTGCTGCATTAAATTTGTCAGATTGTCTTTTTGATGTCATTGCCGATGATAAAAATGTTAACGTGACTGTTGATGTTGCTGCTGCTGCTGTTGTGGTTGCGATAGGTGCGACAAACGTTGTTGATGTTGCTAGAGGGTAAAATGTGGTTGACCTGCCAGTTTTGAGAGGCTGTGGAAATAAAGTTGCCGGTAAAGCTTCCGGTAGTGTTGTTGTTGTTGCTGGTTTTGCTGTCGGTGCTGTTGTTGTCATTGTAGTTAGCAACAATTTATTTGTTTCTGGGGCAAAAGTTTCAAACTCTAGCAACGAACTTCTGGCTGGTATGATTAAGAACGGGAGTGGTTTGGATTGTTTCTGTTTAATATGTTGGAGGAGCTGGGTTGTTGGTTGTTGGTGCTGTGGTTGCAAATGTTGTTGTTGCTCTGATTGTTGTAAAGTTTGTGAGTTTTTTGGAAACATTTGCCGTTGAAAAATTAATTGTTCCAAATGCTGCGATTGTAGATTTTGTTTTGGTAAAATTTTTTCTGATTGAACTTTTGGCTGAAAATTCAATTGTTCTTCATGTTGTTGTTCATTCAGTTGTTGTTCATTCAGTTGTTGTTGTTGTTGTTGTTGTATGAAGGTGAGAGGCGGTTGTAACAACAAAAGAGGCATTTGTTGAGACGCAGTTGTTGTTGGCAGACCAATCAAACAAATCAACATGAGCAGCACTCCACAGAACTTGGCTGGAGTAGTCATCTTCGTCGTTGTCGTTGTTGTGCGCGTTACTTTGCGTTGGGAGTTTTTTCAATCAACTATCCTGAAAAATAAAATAAATGAATATTCATGCTAACACAAATTTTGGTGTTTGAGACATCATACCTGCGTGTCAATCATTTGTTTGAACGTGATCATCAAAGTCAAAGCAAGTTAAAATGTCAGTGGCGGAATTTGAGAAGTCTGTTATTAGCAGTATTTTTATTAAAATTCAGTAAAACTCAGTTTTTGCAAACAAAACGTCTTTTTATGTAGAGAATCCACAATAATTTGTGCAATAAGAAAAAGAGCCTTCAGTTGCTTAAATTGTTGCCTGGCCACCAAAATTTGTCAGTGTTTTGCCCCACGTTGAATTTCAAATTTTGGCCCCCATCAACGTTCCCTAGATCCGCCCCTGGTCAATAACGAATTAAATTAAATACGTTGAAGAGATTTAATGTAAGTGTTTCTCAGGATCTTAGTCAGGCGAGTTGACTCATTCCGCAGTTCGGATTGAAAAAATTTTAATTTTAATCGCCAAAGCAATTTTGAAAAGTTGAGTAAATTTATTATCGATTGAAAGAAAAATGTTTTTTTTTCACTTTTAATCACTCATAAAAACAACGTTTTAAGATCCAAAGAAGAGTTCTAGCGATGAAATTGCAGGCAGAACTGTCGAAAACGGTGCAACTTACTTTATACACCAATGGACCACTTAGTTTTGAAATTTGTATGATTTAAAGGTTCGACTCACGTGAGTAGGAGCATGCGGAGATTAAAATAAAAAATAGAAGAACATAAGTTATGACGCAAAAGAATCTTAGATTTGGTATAAAAATCTTTCTTATATGCAACGAAGTAGAAGCTCTTGTAAAAATACTTACAAAAAAAAAGGTTTTTACATAAAAATCCAAAAACACTATTTTTCTAGCATAAATTATGCAACGTCAGTAATATCATCATCCCATCATCATCCCATCATCATCCCATCATCATCCCATCATCATCCCATCATCATCACATCATCATCACAACATCATCACATCATCATCACAATACCATCATCACAACATCAAGCATCATCGTCACAACATAACCGCACCGTCATCATTATAACATCATCCTCATCATCATGACATCATCATCACAACATCATCTTCATCATGACATCATCATCATCATGACATCATCATGGCATCATCATAACATCATCATGACAATATTATGACAACATCACTGATTATGATTGCACGTATTAGCCAGTCATCCATTTTATAACGAGTTTCCTACGAAGAATTTCATTACCAAAACGATTGCACGATGATGTTGAGAAAATGATGAAAATAATCATCATTTTTTTTCTTATCATTATATAACTCTGACATAAGCAGAACTTTTTCATTCTATATTTATAGTTGGATTTTTCATGCCACAAAGGCTGCACTACCCACACCACACCACACCACACCACACCACACGAACATATCAAACCACATTACACAACCACACCATACACCACAACACATATCTTTGTATGTACGTCATGTGGTGTGAATAGTATTATTAGTATACGCATGATGTCTATAAATTTCGGACAGTGTGTATTCGAACTAGGTCACAGCGTAAGAACAGCGCGAGGCATGGTGCTCCTACCGACTGAGCTAGCACAGTAATATTGTGTTATTGTTAACGATAATGATAATGATAATGACGATGATGTGTGATAGATGTGAGTTGCTGGTGATAGATGAAATGACGATGTTAAGTTTTTCTTTCGCAATATTGAAGTGATTTGTATGTAGGTATGTATGATATTGAATTTGACTGTTTAGATATTAAGGATGAAGAAATTATGTTACTGGAGTCACAATGATGACGATGATGACTACGATAATGGCACTGATAACAAAGATGATGATGATGACAAAGATGAGGAAGATATTTTGTCTCTGAAGAGTCGGAATAAACAGAAGGTGAATGATGGGTCATCTGTCACGTGACGTCAACTTATGACTTCCGGTTCTTTTTATGTTTTTTTTTGCATAATGTGATGGATGTCTCTTTGATTTTTGTACGTTCGTAATAGGGTCATTATAAATGAAATTATGTTACTTTTGTTGTTGTTGTTGTTGATATTATTATTATTTTTATTATTGTTGTTGTTACAAATGTTGTTGTTATTGTTGTTTCTTTTTTGTCCTTTTCTACTGTTTAATTTGTTGATGTTTCTTGATCATACAAACGAACAGATCTTATGCCGAAATTAATTTTTGTATTTGCTGCAACTTTGTGAGTAGCTTTTAGTTTATTTTGTTATGATATTTTGTTGTTTGTTGTTGTTTTCGCGTGCGTTTGTTGTATTTTGTTGTTGTAATTGTTGTGGTGTTGTTGATCGTTTTGTATTTTGTTGCATGCACTTTTTTCTTCTTTGGCAATGAATGCTGCTATTTTTTAATTGTTTTTCCCCTACAAGTATGTAAGTACTTCATTTACATTATCTAAAGAAAACCCATTTCTTGTGTTTGATCAAATCATCCTTTTAATTAACTTTTTTTTATAAAATCAACTGTTTGCCAGCAACTCTTACCAATTTCGACTTTGTTGTTTTTTCTTTGCTAAAAATATTTCCAAATTTATGATTTTTTTGCAAAAGAAGTTACACTGTTGCGGTAGCAACTTTAATTCATTTTTGCTTGATCAAACTTTCAGTGATGAACACTTCCATAAGACAGAAAAATAAAAAAATTGAATTTCAACACTGTAAACTCCACTCAACTACGCAGAAATAAATCAACACTGAGTAACAAAACACAATACAACAACACAGGCAGAGAACAACAATTTTTTAACAAAGAAACAAAACAAGATAGCAAGAACAAAACAACAACAAATAACAACAACAACTTACAACGACAACAAACAACACTACCACCAAAATGACCACACAAAACAACAACATCAAACCTCAAAACTAATATAGCTTGTACAACGACAGATTTCATCCAAACAACAACAATAACCTAACAACCCACATACTTTACATGCCAGCAAACAATTCAAACACGTTCTTTTTCTCGCATTTTCAGTATTCAGTGCACAGAACATTGTAATGAACAAAATTTCAATTTAAAGCATAGCCTTTTTTCACCGCTGAAGCATTCATTCATTCATTTGTTCATTCATTCATTCGTTTGTTTGTCCGTTCGTTAATTTTGTTCACACACGTTCAAATTGATATATTCATTTTCATTTAATTAAAAATAAATTCAATTAATTTTCAAATTCTGTAACTTTTTATTGGCTGAATTGACCACTACCAATATCGCCTGGTTGTACAATTTCATAACATCGTTCAAAACACACGTACACATTACATGACACAACATTGTGACGTCATATCCAGATCGGCGAAATCGTGACATCACACGATGACGATCACGTGATGACGTCATGACATCACGTGGCATGACGCCATGCCATGTTTTGCAATAAATCGCTGCAATCCGATAAAACTATGCAAATAACCAAATCCAAGTTAAAGAAGTACAAATACAAACAACACACATGAAGGCAGGTTCGAACCGCTGTGCAATGCTGTAAACAAATGAAAAAAGTTAAGAAATTCTTGGTATTAAACCAATTTAAACAGCCACACCAACCAATTTGTTTACTAAACTGGAAAACTTTGAAAAAAAAACTGCATGCTAATACAAAATTGAAAGAAATCGTAAACATCAACAAACTAAAATAACAATAATCGCTTCAAACCTCTGAGAAAACATCAACAAACATCAAAAAACATTGAACAAATGTCAACAAACATCAAAAAACATTCAACAAACATCAACAAACAAGCATACAACAAACATCAACAAAGCAAACTTCGTACAAACATCAGCAAAACAAACATTCAACAAACATCAACAAACAAACATCCAACAAACATCAACAAAACAAACATCAACAAAACAAACATCAACAAACAAATTGTTTTTATCCTTCCATTTTCTAAAAAAAAAAAGATTTTTTGCTATAACTTACTTTCGTTGTTTGTTCATTAAAATGGTTTTGTTAATTTTTTTTCTGTATGTCTGAAAATTTATTTGTATAATTGTTTGTATGTTTGTATATTGTGGCATTTTTTTGCATACGTATTTTTGTATATTTGTATGTAGGGGGGTCTACAGAAAGAGGGGGTTTGAGGGCAGTTGCCAGCACTTCAATTTGCCACCACACAAAATAATTTCTCCCTTTTAAAAAATGCTTCAAAACGAGGGCATCATTTTATTCTCAACAAAATATTATTTTTTCAGTTAGCAACTATTTGGCTCTGACGAATTTTTGGTGAAATTGGAACAAAAATAATCGTAATTATTAATTAATTAATCATTTGTATGTTTTAGTCAATTGGCATTTTAGCGTAGGCGTACAACATCATTATGCAAATATTTGTTCGATTTTTAGCGTATGTGTTTCAGTAAATTCTTTCGTACCTAAAACAAAGATGATTTTTTTTACTGCTGCTGACGTCACTGTTAGTGATGTCATTGTCGATGTTGTCGTTAATCGTAACTCAGAATCGTAACGCGGGATCGGATCGTATCGTATCGTAAACTTGTATCGAAGAATCGTGTCGTATCGCAGAACTGTATCAAATCGCAGAATTTGTACAGAGATTTTATCTCATTAGTGGATTGTGGCATTTTTGTTGTTGTTGCTATTGTTTTGTTGCTATTGTAGATTGTTTTGTGCGAATTTCGTTTCTCCAAGCAAAGCTCATCCTCATGCAGATAAGTTCAGCAAACCAGGAGTGAACCAACCTACATCATCTCAAACAGCATTGCACTTGTCCTGATTCAATTCACACTCTCGTCATGATTACGACATCAAAATCACAGCCCAACAGCAGCAGTTGTGATTGTTGTAGTATTAATAGTAGTATATTAGTAGTAATATTATTATTATTATTATCATTATTATTATTATTATTATTATTATTATTATTATTATTATTAACAGTAGTAGTAGTGACAGTCATAGTAGTAGCAGTAGTAGTAGGGTTAGGGTTAGGGTTAGTAGTAGTAGTAGTAGTAGTAGTAGTAGTAGTAGAGTAGTAGTAGTAGTAGTATTAGAAATAGTAATAGCAAAAGTAACTGTTATAGTAGTATTAGTAGTCGTAGCAGTAGCAGTAATAGTAGTAGTTGTATTAGTAATTGTAGCAATATTACAATTTTTCAGTAGTAATAGCAATAGTAGTAGGAGTAACGGTGGTGCTACTTGTTGTAGTAGTAATAGTTTTTTAATACGGTTGGTAGTTGTGTCACTAATAAAAATTATTGAGGAGAACTTCCTACAGCAAATTCTAGAATGGCCTCTAATCTTCTCAGACCCGTAACAAATAAAACATCATTATCGGGTCTGCCCTCGATAAATGTTGGCCAGTTTTTAAATTTGTTTTTCTGCAAATAAAACCAAGAAGCCAAGTTTAAGCTTACGTAACATAAATTGTACAGTTGAGTTGTTGCGTGTTGCAAAGTAACATGTGTTGTTGCGTGTTGCAAAGTAACATGTGTTGTGGAGTGTTGCAGAGTCACATGGCATGACTCAAATTGAATTGGTTGCAATCGAAATGGTTGAATATTCAAATAAAATTAACAACACTGACTAAAGACCGACATTGAGGCACATAACAACATCGCCATTCATGGAGTGTCTCCTAATCCATTTATGTCTCAGCGCTAGACTTCTTACACACACATACCTGACAAACAAAAACACTTTAACACACTCTAGCACACACATACAAGCCTAAACACGCTCATATATATATACACACACACATACACACACACATACACACACATATATATACATACAAACTTAGACATTCGTTCATGCCAACAACCTGATGCACACACACACACACACACACACACACCAGGACCATATACATAACTAAAATCACATGCGTACTTTGACACATAAAGCACATTTATACAAACACATACGTTCTGTCATACACAAGCAGGCGCACATACACGCACGCATATACACAAACATAAACACAACACAAACATACTCAGACATTCATAAAAATTATTTAGAGGAACATTAAATATTCCTTCCCATTCTGATTGACACGCGTTTAAGCTAATTAAAAAGGAATAAAAAGAGGGGAAAAATTGCAAAATATGAAATGTCAGCTGTTGTTGTTGTTTTTTTTGTTGTTGTTGCTGCTGTTGCTGGTTGCTGTTTTTGTTGATGTTGTTGTTGATTTTGTGTTGTTGTTGTCCTGTTGTTGTTTTTGTTGTTGTTTTAGTTGTTGTTGTTTTAGATGTTGCTGTTTTAGTTGTTGTGGGTTGTTGTTGTTGTTGTAGTTGTTGTTGTGTTGTTAGATTTCTCGTTGCTTAAGTTCATTATTTTCGTTGTATGTTATGATTTTCGGTGAGCCTATCAAACAAATGCACTCCATTTGACTTGCTTCGTCTCCACGCAGTGACAGATGTTGGTGTATGCTCTTCAAAAACTCTATCAAATTATCCATTGCAAGACAACTATTACCAATTATTGATATTTCTGCATCACTACAATCCTCACTCCTATTACTACAATCCTCACCACTAGTACTACAATCCTCACTCCTAGTACTACAATCTTCACTCCTAGTACTACAATCCTCACCACTAGTACTACAATCTTTACTCCTAGTACTAAAATTCTCACCACTAGTACTTCAATCCTCACTCCTAGTACTACAATTCTCATTCCTAGTGCTACAATCCTCACCACAATACAGCAATCCTCACAATTTTGTAGCAACAATTTTTTCAACCGTGACAAATTCCACATAATAAACGTTTAACTTTTCAACAACCACACATCCAGCAACATCAATAGTTCTTACATTTCAACGCTGAACCTGCACAATCACATTCAACACATTACAAAATGAAACACCAACTCCAGAGGTGATGTGGAGTTTAATTTCGGTATCTAATTAGTTACAGTTTTGCCTTCATGAGACTCTACCATCGTACCCTCCAGATAATTCCAACAATTGCTACTTTCTACTTTCACTTTTTAGTTTTTTCACATTTTTTTCACATTTTCATCTATATTTTTAATTAATCCCATTCCTCCACATTTAAAATTTTTCAATATTTTTTAGTATTAACCTCTGACAATTCTTGATCACGTTGCATAACTTTCCAATTAATTTTTACTGCACTTAGATCATATTGTTAGAACCGCGGGCACAATCTAATTGCGCTATATTATTTGTTATCGTTATTATTGTTATCTTTGCTATATTCGTAATCTTTTGATTAGAGGATTGTAAAGAAATATTGAATCTATGCTAAAAATCTTGGCTATATAGAAGTCCTGCGTAGTCAGGTTTCTAGTCAGGCTCGACGCGATTACTTGGATTAGTTTGATGTTTCTATTACTGTTGGCATTCAAATAAACGTTCAACAAAGTTTGCGTTTGCGTGTTCATCTATCTGTAAATCTTCTTGAACCTGCGGAATAACGAACACTTAACGATCGTCGGCAGCTTTGTAGCTGCTTTTTAATATTTTATATTAATATATAATGAAAATATTAATTAGCTGCTGTAGCAGCTAATTAATATTTTCAACACTGATGTTGAAAATATAGAGATCAGTGAAGTTATAACATTGGCGTTGGTAGACACGAGAGTCAAGGGTTACAACAATATTTCAATAGATTAAAACACGTGAACTGAATTTTTAATTGAGTGCATCATTGAGTGCAATTTTGCACGCTCCAAAATAATTAGAAACACATGTAGAAACTCTTCGTTTAACTGCAATTGTAATCAAAACTAAGTAATTTTCAGTTTCATCATTTAATAATTCTCGCTGTAGCACTCAACAAAACGTTGAAAGTCTTTACCCACAAACAAAAGTCAGAGTGTTGAAACGTGTGCTGGAAGACTTTTCAATCATAAAATATTCAAATTATTTTGTCGACTTTAAAAAACTGATTGAAGACTTACTTTCGTCTTTACTAAATATCTTGGATTTTTTTTAAAAGCCAAAAAATATTTTGAGACTTCAAAACCGAATTTGAAGTTGAATGTAAATTAATCAAAATTGAATGCTCACGCACGCATAATGTGAATTGTTTCAACTTCTTCAAAAAATGCAAATATACGCAAATAATTTTGAACAATTATGTCCTAAAAAAATTTTAATCATCTTTTTTCGCGCTTAAACGTCAAATTTTAGAATGAAATTGCAATACAAATTTTTTTCATTTATTGAAATTTTTCTAATGTTATTTCTACTTAGTGTAAATTGGCGAAAATGTTATTAAAAATATAACTAAATAAATTGAACAAGTCACGATTTTTAGTGGTGACCATATGGCATTTATCATTTAAAGTTGTTAAATCTTTAAAATTAAAGTTTTTGCCGTCATTTTCGTAATTATATTTGGTTTCGGGCATAAAAGTTTTTTTTTTAATTTTTAAAACAGTGAAGTTATGTTAATTCGTTCATTTGACTGATAAACTTTCAAACGAGATGAGCTGATGAACAGTAATAAATAATTTTTCTACTAATATGATGTACAGAATCTATCTCAACAACCGTGGAATCATACTGCATCCAGCTCGCTTGTTTGAGAAAATTGAAAATAGGAAGGATGTTGTTGAGTGTATTCCATCAGTATCAGTACCTTCATCGTCATCTCCTTTTTCGTTGTCATCATCATCATCTTCATCATCATCTTCATCATCATCTCCATCAACATCTTCATCGTCATCATCATCTTTATCTTTATCATCATCTTCATCATCTTCTTCATCATCATTTTCATCACCAGCTTCCTCATCATCCTCATCATCATCTTCATCATCTTCATCATCATCATCTTCAACATCATCTTCATCATCTTCTTCATCTTCATCATCATCTTCATCATCATCTTCATCATCATCGTCATCATCATCTTCATCATCGTCATCATCTTCATCTTCATCAACATCTTCATCGTCATCGTTATCATCAGCAGAAGTGCAGTTTATTGAGGTAGAACATCCAAATGTGGTACTGATTTTGCACAAAGCCATTTTTAACTCAATAAAAACCCACTGTGGTGGTCACTGTTCCGTTCAGCCAATATTATGTGGAAGCTTGAACATATCTACATGCATAAGTACACACGCACATGATCAACGATTTTAACCATTGCTAAACAAATGCAAAAAATTGCTTATTCACATTTGAGTTATCTACATTCTGAGGATTTATTTTTTAATTTAATCGAAGTTAGCAGTCGTAACATATTCGGACGAAAAATTGTAAACGTACAGAAATTAGTAGTGTGGTTATAAGGAAAGTTGAGAACCAAAAAGCAAATCGAATGAGAAGTAAGATGAAGCAAGATAGACAAACGACTAAACATGTTCGAGAATTATTTGCAACGCTGTTTGTGCTCGGCTGCATATTGATCAGAACATCCCCTTTCTTCATTTACATTGGAAATCAATACAAAAGCCTGGATGCCAGTGACGATCAAAATGTATGTATGTATGTATGTATGGATGGATGTATGTATGTATGTATGTATGTATGTATGTATGTATGTATGTATGTATGTATGTATGTATGTATGTATGTATGTATGTATGTATGTATGTATGTATGTATGTATGTATGTATGTACGTACGTATGTATGCATGTTTGTTTGTACATACGTACGTACTATTTCTTAAAAATTGTTTTCAATATGTTGGCCAGTAAATTCGAATTATTTGTGAACGAAAGTTGAAGAAAATAAATCTTAATGGCATTGACAGCAACAAGCTGATGACAACAACAACAACAACAAAATGACGACGACTTTGCAAAAATGACCATGACAACAACAAAGTGATGACGTCAACAACAAGCTGAGGACAACAACAACAATAAAACGATGATTGTTAATGTGAGCAGGCTGGCAAAGATGGAGGAAAGATCAATTTTAAATCAATCAAAACCCCTATCAACATGAAAGGCACTAACTGCCAGTGAAGGCAATAATTGAGTGGCGTGACATCAACAAAATGACATGTCGGAAGACCATCACGACATTGCATCATTTCATCATCACAGCATCTCTATCACAAACATTTTCATCATCATCATCATTATCATTCATCATCATCATCATTTTCATCCTCCTCCTCATCATCATCATCATCGTCGTCATCGTCATCATCATTTTCATCCTCACCATCATCTTCATCATCATCATTTTCATCATCATCTTCATCCTCATCATTAACGCCCACATGTAATCACCCGAGCAAATTAGAAAGATTAAACTAGATGTTCCGACAGCATCCCATATTGTATTGTTTTGTATGTTGTATTGTTTTGTTTGTTGTATTGTATAGTTTTGTATGTTGTATTGTTTTGTTTGTTGTATTGTTTTGTATGTTGTATTGCATTGTTTTGTATGTGGTATTGTATTATTTTGTATGTTATATTGTTTTGTATGATGTATTTTATTGTTTTTGTTGTATTGCTTTGTGTGTTGTATTGTTTTGTATGCTGAATTGTTTTGAACGTTTTATTGCTTTGTATGTTTTATTGTATTGTTTTGTATGTTTTATTGTTTTGTATGTTGTATTTTATGGTATGTTGTGGGTTATACTGTATTTTGTATTGTGTGTTGCGTTTTGTGTTATATTGTATGTTGTATTTTGTGCTATATTATTTTGTATATTGTATTGCTGTGTAAATTGTTTTGTATGTTGTATGCTATGTTGTAATGTATTGTATGTTGTATTTCAACAATATCAACATCAACAACATTATCAACATCAACAACATCAACAACATCAACAACATCAACATCATAATCAACATCATCATCAACATCATCATCAACATCAACATCATCATTATTATCATCACCATCATCATAATCCTCATCATCGTCATCATCATCGTCATCATCATCATCGTCATGTATTTTATCAAACACAACGGAAATACCGAAAACAACATCCTTGCTTACACCATTATCACCTTCATCACGTTTTTCAATCATCATCATCACTTTCCTCTTTCTCCTCTTCAACATCATCATCATCATCATCATCACCATCATCATCACATTCATCCTTTTCTACTCCTCATCCTCCCCCTCCTCCTCCTCATCATCATCATCCTCATCTTCTTCCTCTTCATCAGCATCATCACCAGCAGGCATTCCATCCAACGAAATTGAACTTCAATGTTGGACAGCTCTAGTGAGATAGACGCACATGCACACAACAAACTCGCGAGCATGGGCATACTCAACCACATACATACACACATACGCAGTTATTAAACTTGCACACGCACGCGCACACATAAACACAACCACATAAACATGTATAGGTACATATAAAAACATCACAGACCCAGATAAGCGGAGAATCTCATTTGTATAATTTGACAACGAATTCTTTAACCCAATCATCTTATTAGATTTGTATGGCTCTTTATACTTCTGCTTCTGTCTGTCTGTCTGTGTGTTTGTATGCTTGCATGTAGGTGTGCAGATGATGTGTGTATGTTTGTGTATGTTTGCGTGTGTGTGTGTGTGTGTGCGTATGAATGCTTGCATGCAGGTGTGCATATGCAAATATTTTCAAGTATGTAATGCAAGTGCAAGTAACGTTGCCAAAATAATTTTTTGTGTGTTTGTTTGGAACTTCCAGAAAATTAATTAATATAGTTAGGCCAACATTTCAACTGATTATCATGTTCATCGTTTAACATTTCAGTTGTTCATCACTTCAACTGTTCGTCATTTTAGTTGTTCATCAGTTTGGCTGTTCATCATGAAAAAGTTGAAAGATTCAATAGAAATAAAACTAACAAAACGAATATTTTTAAAATTACTTTAATGGCGCCTTCTACTTTGATTGTCAGTCAGCATTTGGCAGACGTTTCAAACACAAAGTTTTTCTTGACGATTTTGTGTTTTTAAATTATTATTTAAATAGAGATCTAATTTTAGACCGTTTAACATTTTATAAAACTTATAATGATTAATTTTGATCATGATCTTGAGTCATTCTTGATGTATGAATTTGATTTTGATTTAAAATGTAAACAAAAAATTTCACCAAATCCTGCAAATAAACACACAGAGACAATGATAAACAGTGAAACAAACAAAGAAACAAACAAAGAAACAAACGAACGAACGAACGAACAAACGAACAAACAAACTAACTAACTAACCAGCCAACAAAACAATCTTATATGATTACACGCTCTGGTTATTCAGTTCACTGAGCAGAAACAAAACAGACCATCAATCCGTTATTCATAAACATGGCGTGCACACAAACATGTTCTCTTGTCACACGCAGACTCTCATTCCAGTTTTTACGTACTCTGATGTTTTTTTTTCGTTCTATTTTGAAGGAATCTCCTGTAATATATTAGGAATCAGTCAATAGATTCTTTATACTGGGATCAATGGATCGATGCTTCTATTATAACTTTCCAGGAAGTCACCAATGGGGAAATATTAATGCTTTGTTCTTTGAAAATTTTTTAAATAATCCACCTACCTACCTACCTGCAAGCCTATGTTATAATATATTATATAATTTATTCATTCAGTTCGAAATGTTCTGCACATAGGCAGGCAATTAATCAGTTAAAATCATTATTCATTCATCCATCTGTTCATCCATTCATCCCTCTATCCATGCATCTATCCATCCATCCGTCCATCCATCTATCCGTCTGTCCGTCCGTCCGTCCGTCTGTCCACCCATCATCCATCCAACCATCTATTCATCCATCTATTCATCCATCTATTCATCCATCCATCTATTTATCCATCTATTCATCCATCCATCCATCCATCCATTCGTTAACTAATTATTTGGACTATCTATTACTCTTTATAAGCCTTTATTAGCGGGAATGCTGAACGGTGTACTGAATCCAGTTTTAATTATTTCCAAAAAAAAGTAAAATAAAGAAAAAACATTTTCAATGCAAAGACACGCAGCGAAACACAATCCCTCTCTTAATGGATTAAAAACTTTCAACAATTTAAATCTTCTAAATTCATCTTTACCACCACCACCCTCATCCTTATCATCATCATCATCGTCATCATCGTCATCATCGTCATCATCCTTATCATCATCATCATCGTCATCATCGTCATCATCATCATCATCGTCGTCGTCATTACTAAAATTCTTGATAGCAACGAAATTTATTCTATAAAAATTAACAACTTTAAATTTTGGCATTTCCCGATGAATTGCAACCTTTGAAAAAAAAAGAGTCAAATTGTATTTGAAACCAACCTTTTAAGAAACTGTTTTTCAGATCATGCAAATCGCATGTCAGATTTTTCTTCAGATTTGCAAACAAACAATAATTTATAATTTTTTTTAAGAAAATTAAGAAAATTAAGAAAATTATTCTAAAATAAACTCATAAACAAATAGATGGTGGAACAAATGTATGCAAATAACTGATAATATATATGCATAATATGTATTATATCGTAATTTATTATGAATGAAACCTAATAAGATGTATGTGAATGATGTTCACATTTGAAGTTTTTTACTGGTTGTTTAGATTTTTAACGAAAATATCGAATTTTTATTTTTTAATGGACGATAAATGAAATGGAATCCGGATGAATTATTGATGGGCTCCAGTTAATGTGGAGCTTGGAGCGCCAATAAATTTGATGCATTGTGTATTCAACGCGGTCTTACTCCTTCACGAATTAATTATGATTTTTCAGTTAAAAAAAAATTGAAAAACAAAAAAATGTATGCAAACAAACAAGCAACAAACAAAAAACAAAGAATACAACAAACAGAAACATTGGGACATGCGCACAAAGACATTTGAGACAAACGCTGTTATTCAAAGGCAAAAACACACGTAGACAAACATTTACAAACATTAAACAAACGTGTCGAATGATTTACTTCAATTACAAATACAAATGGTTATTGTCTTCTGCCACCAAAACAAACACTAGCCCATTTTATGGACATTGCCATTCAAACAGTTAAACATTGTTGCTTCCAGCTCGCC